AAATAAGATATAAAGCTATCTCTGAATACCTGAATTGTGAATTACTAACTGTTAGATACTAAGATGTACCTATTCTAGCAAATGTTGCCTGTATTAACTTATAATTGAAACAGAAATCTTTAAACTGCATCTTAGCAAATTTATATGTTAGGGAAATTTTGCAGTAAGTTATGTAAGCTGTAAGAAGACCACTGTCTAGCTTGGTATTATTTTTTTTGGCCCCCCGAAGGGGATTTTTTAAATTGCCTTTTCTATAACTAAACACTACATGAAAAAAATAGGAAAGGGACTACAAACTATGGGATAAAGAAAATAAACCTCTAAAAACCCAAGAGTGGGTGTCATTCAAACTGCTTTTAAAAACTACATGCATATATAGCTAAATATTCATATAAAATCATTGAACTTGTTCATCAAACTCCTATTAAACTACAGATCTAAATTAAAGCATCGTCTACTATGACTTCATAAAGAGCCTAAGACACCATAATTTGTTCATTTTTTTAGATCTTCAGATTATGATAACTCATTTTTTGTCCTTTTTCTTCCTCAATTGGTAGCCTAATTTTGGGACAGCCGCTCCCAAATTTGAGTCCGATTCTTCGCCAGAAGTTGACCTCACTCCATCTCCGCCACCTTCCTTGGAGCTGTCTTTATCTTCCTCTTCTTCCACATCTGCTGGACAACTATGTAGATGCAAAAATTATCTTCCCTTTTCCGCAGTGTCAATTTTCTCTTTCCCATTCACAAACTTGAAGATGACTCCTTCAGGCAAAATCCATCTGTAGGCAATTTGTTTCTTTTGTAAAAATAAAACCAAGTCTTTATATTTACGTCTTTTCCTCCTTTAAGGCTTTTATCTCTTTGCCCTTAATTTTCAGGGTAACTCCATTAGCCACTTTGAGAATTTGATCTCTCACGTTTCTTCTGGAGAATCTCACCATCACTTCTCCAGGCAGATTATTTTTCCTTATAAATTCTGTATACAATCTGGAGACCGTATTGATGTCACTTTGCAGAGTTTCTGCTTTAATATCTGCCATTTGCCCCAGGGCTTCGCACATTATCTGTATAAGATTCTCCCCTTTTTCTTCAGAAATCCCCAGAATTCTTAGGACATAGCTTGCCCTCTCCATTTGCAGCTGTAGCAGTTGAGACTCATCTGTTTGATGCTTTTTCTCCATTGCCTGAATTTGTTTTTGTAGCTTTTTGGCATTGGTATCAGCTTCTTTAAGTTCCTTCTCAGTTTGATCTTTTTTTTGACAGTCTCATTCATTTGAGATTGTTGTGCATCTATTTTCCAATTTATTGCCGTCACCTGTTCCAGCAGAGGGCGCAATTCTTCATTTAGCATCCTTTGCAGGTCTGTAGTTGTGTCCTGTCTGGGCACAACACTCACTGGACTGGCACTTCCGGCAGACTTAGCTTTCGTTATCTTTTCTTTCTCCTCATTCCTCATAGGAGGCGCCATATTTGAAGATTTGTTTACTTTTCGCCAAAAGTTATTACAGTCTCCAAAGTTCTCCAATAAGCTTGGTAAGTTCTTAAAAGTCCTTTATTTTGTCTTTTCCGCTTCACAAGCCCCCCCCCCACTTAAACAGCAAATTTCACTTATGTTTGTCTTATCAGGGGAGAGTCCCGTCCCCCCTTGCTTTCCACAGGATGGCTTTCAGCTCACAGTTCAATGGCAACACGATTTTTCGGGTCGCTTAAAGTGCCGATCACTTGATCACCTGGCACTTGATCCGGTGTACGCTTCTAGTTCCATTAGGAAGCTCCATAGCCGGAATGCCCCCCCGCTCACCAGCAGGGTCACCAGAGGGGGAGCCTTCTAGTGCCCTATGGCCTGGAGCCCACCATTAGGGCTCCACGGGGGATGCGGATAATCGCACCCCCTCCTTGCCACGAGCTCTAGTGATTGCCTCCCAGAGGTCTTGGAGAATGCAACCACCATGGCGAGCGACAAAACCGGAACTAGCTTGGTATTTTAGATAGTTTTCTTTTTTGTATCTTCCCTTTGCTCTGTAGTTTCTAGCTTCCCCCATCCTTTTTCTTAGTAGTTTATAGTGAAATGCAATAATAATAATAATAATAATAATAATGATGATGATGATGATGATGATGATAATAACAACAACAACAACAACAACAACAATAATAATAATAATAATAATAATAATAATAATAATAATAATAAAGGAATATGCAAATAGAGTGGTACCAGCTCAAATCATGCTCTGATGATGATACCTGTTGGACACCAATTAGGGATTTCTCTCTGTATAAACTGTCATGATGTCATTTGGGGTATAAGATCTACTGCCCTTCCTGGTTGGGGCAGAATACAGCTTGGTGTTACTGGGTGCCAAGGTATCCAGTCCTGTATTTTCCTGATTATTGCAATAAATAGATATTTATCCTTTCCCTGGACTCCAACTGTGTGTTCGTTATTCGGCCCTGGGAGCACACAGGGTGCAGATTTGTACATCATAGGTGAGGAAACCCAAGTTCAAATGACCACTTGCCATGAAACTTACAGGGTGACCTTGTACTGGGCTCTCTCTGTCAGCCTAACCTGTGAGGATAAAAAGCAGAGACCCAGGGTATGCTATCCTCCTTGAAGTAAGGGTGGGATAAAAATGCACCGCATAAATCCTTTCCCCCCCTGCCTTTGCTGTCTCATATGGTCCCGGTGAGGAAAATAATGGGATTGTGCCACTCTGATCTCCATTGGGGAAGGCGGCATATAAGTGCAAGGAAGGAATAAGCTTTTTGACCTAAGTAGCTATCCATTTTTTTCAAACAAGATGGCTTCAAAACTAATACAAGGGGATATGTGTTTCAAATTTTGCCATAGGAATTATTTAAATATATAACCCAATACAATAAACTTTTAAGTCACAAGAAGGAGCTTGAAGAAAGAAAGGGTTTGACAGACTTACATTTAGTCTCTGTAAGGGGACCAGAATGACAGAAAGGACAAGATGCCAGTCATGGGAGTGGGAGACAACGTGGCCTTAAAAGATCTTGGACAGAACAGTCATCATGAAGTGATATTATGGGGTATAAGGACAAAGCAGCCTTACGTATCTACCAGTAGTCCTTTTCAACAGACACAGAGGGTGTTCAAATAGTAGCAACATAGCTATGGCTGATGTTTCCACTCCCTCTGCTCATTACTTGCTGCTATTGTGAAGCATACAAAGAAATAAAAAAAAGACCCCTGTGTATACACGCTAAGAACCAAAATTCCAAAATTTACAAAATTCAATGCTGTATTTTGACACAAGTCCAACAATCATATATATGTGTGAATGAGAAGAGGTCCAATATAGTAGAGTTTCAGGGGTTTTGTGGTTTTAAATAGTAGAGTTTCAGGGGTTTTGGACCTCTTCTCATACATACATATATATGATTGTTGGACTTGTTTTAAAATACAGCATTGCATTTTGTAAATTTTGGGATTTTGGTTCTTAGCACATACACACAGCTTTTTTTGTTTCTTTCTTTGTATGGCACTATGAGCTGTTATTCTCTAGTGTTGTAGCTATTGTGAAGCATGCTGCAGCACTGAAGGGCAAAATGGCCTCGCGGTTTTGTGTGCGATCCTGAAAGAAAGGATGAAACAATGGCAGTATGACATGATAAGAGGCCCTTTGTGGCTTGCCTTCAGAAATTTATGTACATTGACTCAATCACATCATTTTATTTATTTATGGAATTGCTCAATCTAACAAGTATTTAAAAAATCTATATATAAATAAATGCAGTTTCTACTAATCTAAGAAAAGCACAAACTCATCTAGGAAGACATCAGGTATTTTCCCCTGGGGGCAGAAAAGCTGGTAGGTCACTGACCTTCCCATATTCTTAACTAGGGCCCTGCCTGCGCACTCAATAACCACATATATTAAATGGTGTAATAGAAGGTGGGCATACAAATTACCAGTTTTGCACTCAGTAGTAATTACCACCTATGATTTAATTCCCAGATTTATCAGTGATCAAGCACGTGGTAATATTTGTTTATACATTTATTTAAATACTAGAAATAATGCCCGTTGCGGAAATAAATACAACGGGATCTAGAAAGAGGCTCTGGGAGAGTGCTCTGGCTTTGGGCAAACAGTGTCAGTTTCCTGTGGCGACCTCAGCAGGGTTTAATGACAGAGTCCACTGTTTTCTCCAGAGGGACTGATCTCTGCTACCTGAAGAGCATTTGTATGTTTGATTTATCTGTAGCCCTCACCTGGAGAGTGGTAACCATTGTTACCCATTCTCCTCTCCCCTATGAGGTATGTCATGCAACTGAAAATTCCAACTGCCTTGTGGGGGGGGGGGAATTTGAGGTGTGGAATGGACTGAAGTCCAATCAGCTTCCATATGCAAAAGACCAGGTTGTCGCAGCAGTTGTGGTGTGGGCGGGACCGGGCTTTGCCTTCTGATTGGTGGCGATATATGCTGAGGAGCAGTGCCATCAGCCATACACTAAGGGAGTGCATTTTAGAATTAGAACTTTGGCACCCACTATTCAATTATATATAAGGAGAGATTTATATCCCACTTCCCCTCGTGGCTCAAGGGTTCCTGTGTTTCACCTCTAGGACAACTCTAGTGATGGGCAGATTAACAACCAAAATAACTGACACCAATCAATCCCATCGCTGAATGTGCGGATGTTTAATTATTCTCTGTCTTCTTTGCTCCGGCCAACAGCCATTCTCGCTCTAAACTGCTTGTCTGACCAGACTACAACAAGCAGCATTCAGCTCATTCTCCGGACCCGTTTGATTAACACGCTCAAATCAGTGCCAGGGACGCCGCCGGTGGAACAAAGGAAGCGCCAATAACAAAAACCACTGCGAAGCCGGAGGAGGCTGGAATTCGGGCGACTGGGCGGGGCCTCCTTCTGACCTCGCCCCCTTCCGAACGTGGGCGGCGACCGGCGAAAGCGGAAGTTCCTGCGGCGCCCCAGCTGGCGCGGGAGGAGCCATGGCGCGCCCACCACCGCCTCCCCTGGGACGGCGCTTGTAGCGGCGGCGCCTTCCGTCCGCCGTCCTCGTCGCCGCTGCCCTCCTCTCGCTCCCTCCCCGGCCTGGGCCTGGCGCCATGACTGAGCGGGCACCTGCCGGGCTCCCCGCGCGGCTCCTGCTGCTGCTCCTGCTGGTGCTGCTGCCGGGATCACCGTCGTCGGCCGAGATGAGGTCGCCGGCGGCCTCGGGCGTGGAGTCGCTGCTGGAGGAGTTCCGCCGCCAGCTGCAACAGGAGCAGGATCCTCTGGGCGGCGGGCGCGGCCACGACCGGGCGGAGGCGGCAGGACGCTGCCGCGGGACAGGCAACCTCGCGGGCAGCGGCGGGAGCTTCTTCTCGACCAGGCCCGACTCTATCATCCGCACCAAGGACTCCATCGCGGCCGGTGCCACCTTCCTGGGCTCGCCGGGCTCTGTGGCCGGCCTGCGGCAGTGCCTGGACGCCTGCTGCGCCGAACCGCGCTGCACCCTGGCCGTCTTGCAGCAGCAGCAGCCGTCACTCCGCTGCTATCTCTTCAATTGCACGCATCGCGGGCGCTCTGTCTGCCTCTTCTCCCCGCAGCGCGGCTACCACAGCTACTCTCTGGAGCCCGGCAGCAGCAACCCTCCAGGCCTCGGTAAGAAGGCATTGCCGTCGAGCCACTCTTTTATTTATTTATTTGTTTGTTTATTTGTTTATTTGATTTTTATCCCGCCCTCCCACCGAAGCGGCTCAGGGCGGCGTACAACAATAAAACAGTAAAACAGTCTATACAAACATTAAAATCACAATTTACATTCAGTATAACCTACTCAGGATGGCGACTATAAAGTGCTACATATTCAATCCAAGTTGTTGAATGCTTGGCGGAATAACTCCGTCTTCACCGCTCTCCGGAACTGGTAAAGATCCCGGAGGGCGCGGATCTCGTGGGGGAGCTGGTTCCATAATGCAGGAGCTACCACGGAGAACGCCCTAGTTCTGGTAGATGTTAGTTTGGCGTCTCTGGGGCCAGGGAGGACTAATCGGTCTTGCTTAATGGCTTTCAAAGCCACGGTCACTCAAGAGAGGGGACAGCGCTTGGCAGGTGCACGGAAGATCTCCTGTCTTGCTTTACATTCCTGACATCGAAACAGGTCTGTCTAAACTGTGTTTAATAGTAGGTGATGCCTTTGGACACTGTTGGCCTAGGTACCCTTATCCTCGTGCACACGTCAGTTTCCCACTCGTGGCCCTCCATATAGACACTTTTGCTGACAAGGTGCATCCCCGTGCACTTTTGAAGAAAGATGGAAACGTGCTTGTAATATACATCTGCCCTGACCTGACCTGGATGGTCCAGCCTCTCCCAGTCTCATCGGAACTCAGAAACTAATCTGGGTTTGTATTTATTTGTCCATCGGTTGCTACACAGAGGAAGGCAATGGCAAACCAGCATTTCTTGCCTTGAAAACCCTGCATGGTCACTATAAGTTGACTGTGAGTTGATGACACTTTCCACCACTAATGTAAATCCCAATCCTGCTGATAAGCTTCAGACCACCTAAACTCCTGACAGTAGTACAGTGGGGACTGCAAGTCTGGGAGCAGGAGTTAAGCTATGTGCAGGAGTTAGGCTACGAACAAGGTTCCTTCTTGTGCAAAATAGCAACTTTGTTTACTGCACAATTAACAGGCTATGACACGAAAAGCTGCAGTCTGGATGCTCTTGTTAAGACTGATTATTTTCTTTGCAGGCTGGAAATGGATCTGTAGTCATCTGAATAATAGGTTATTAACACATAGGGAAGCTCCCTTATACTGAGTCATGCCACTTCTTCATTTATCCAGGTCTGATTTATTCTGGCAGCAATCCTGCAGGTCTTTTTTTGAGTCCTACTACTTGAGACTGTTTAACTGGAAATGTCATGGCTTGAGCCCAAGATTTTTGAATGGAGGAGCAAACTATAATTTGGCATGGCTTTGCCTGGCCAACTTTGAAAAAGGTTTTCAGTGGCGTACCAAAAATACCATACATTCTCTTGAGAAACTGATCAAATGGCCATTTCACCATAATTACACTTTCAAGCCCAGACCTGAAAATCTGCAGACTCCATACAATCACAAGACCAGCATGTATGATCAGTAGCATTACATTTCATGGAAGAGCTCAGTGTTAGCTATTTCAGAAAATCCATTTTGATCATGTGATAGCCTGGAACCTGGCTCAGTGACTGCCCATGCCAGCATTTCTAGTTCTGGGAGAGGGATAGTGCTGGTATGAGAACTCTCTGTGTCAGGCACTAGAATCATTTGCTGCTGCATGCTTATAGTTGTCATCACATGGAAACCATTTCCAGTGGAATCTGTATAGCATAAGTGAAGCATACTGTAAACTTAAGCTATTTAAGGTTGTGGTCACAGGTGCCAGATAAAGGGGGGGGAGCGAGGCTATTTCCTCCGGAGGAAGTGGACCCGCAGTTACGAGATCACACCTCCCTTTGAAGCTGCGGGCACAGCCCATCAGTGTGTGATCAGATGCAACTGCAGGTGAGTCGTGGGTTGTTGTTTTTTGCTGTTTGCTTCCCATGTGCTTAAACGAGGAATCGAAAAATTGCACCTCCGCACTGAAGGCTCCCTGTGGAGTTTGTGATGATGTGCATACTGGGGGGGGGGACACAATGGCACGGAGTTCGGATGGCCTGATCAGACCATCCCGATGGCATGAGAGCATGCTGGAGCATTCAGACAGGGGAAAGTCCATCCGTGGCCCTTCGGAACCTGTTTATAACTGCATTTCCCCCAATGTCTTTTAACTCCACTTCTGCAGTGGAGCAGAACAGGCTGCTGACGGCTGCGGTATGCTTCCCAGATGTTGTCTGATTGCTCCCTTTAAATCTGCCCGGCATTCGTGCCTATGTCGGGTCTAATTGTGCATATGATCGCAGCCTAAGTAAAGCAAAATGTGTGGGGAGGACATGGGACGGCTGGGGAGGGGGCACTGGTTGTGGTGGAAGAGCTGTTGGACCTTGCAGTAGAGCTTCAAACAAGCACAAGCAAAGCACCACCATCTCAAGCACTTCCTGCTCTGGCCAAGTGCCAGTTGGCAGGGTGTGGCTGGGCCATGAGCCATCTGGGGCTTGCCATGGCCATGGAGTTTGCCATGGCTGGAGACAGCACCCACTTGGCCTACATTGGGGGCTGGGCATACAAGACAGAGAGGGAAGGAACTTGGCTCTTGGGGTCAGCCTTGAAGGAGGTGGCCTTGAGCACCATGTGGCTGGATGAGAGCACAGACATGGGGGAGCCAGAAATGCTGTAATTTTCTAGTCCCAAATGGGATGCAACTGTGTAGCAAGGAAGGTGAAAGTAAAATACATGGTTTGAACCTGTTGTGCTGTTTTTGGAGAAGGTGGGGAAAACATGTCTCATGAGTCATGAGACTCCCTCCCCCAGTTTGCTGCACCCTTCGATGCTCACAACATAATTTCTCTCAATAATAGTATATGCAATCATCTGCAATACAGACGTAATGTAGAAATAAGTCCCAGGCTGCAACATCCCTTCGAACATTCCCGAAGCATATACTGGTTCATTTGGTTGCCACGCTGTTCCTGTAGAGCCGCATGCTAACAGAACAATGCTAAAGGTATTACATATGTCTCTCTGAGATATTCCTTCACCAGGCTGATACACCCATTAGAAGGGATTGTTGAACTATTTTGTTATTAGGGAGCTGGCTTTCTTCATTTCAAAAGCATGAGGAAAGCCATAGAAGTGTATCAAGGAACAAAAACTCTTTGCTTTGAATAAATACATACTCTGTTTTCTTTCAGTAATGAAATAATCTTATTTTATTTAGAAAATGATGACCTTCCTGTCAGTAATGAAATAATCTTATTTTATTTAGAAAATGATGATGACCCTCCTGTCAGCAAAGCAGGGAAAGACATTGTGCTTCAGTTGCCCGTTGACTGGGTTATTCTTGATGGCCGAGAAAGTTTTGATGACCATGGAATCATTCAGTATGAATGGACTTTGCTGCAAGGTGCCCCTTCAGTTGCTATGAAGGTAAATAAAGTTTTGCACTTCCAGTTTAAGTCAATCTATATGGGTACTGGTATTGTAGAAATAGAAGTACTAAGTTTTCATAGTGCAGTCAGATAAAAGATGAACAAAAAGTTACTGTGGTCTGATATTCACCTCTTGAAACCTGAAAAGACTGAGTGTTATAGAACAATATATAATGCACACACTAATTCATAATAGAACAAATAAATTATAATGCGTTGTAACTACTGTATTGTAGTAAAGTAGTAGCATGTAGCAGAATAAAGTTGAAAGTTCCAAGAGTATATTTAATAATTCTCATACTCCTCTGTTTAACTTGCGTAGCAGGGGTGTTTGAAATGGATTCATACTGAACTAGGAATAAGGCCCGTTGTGGAAATAAATACAACGAGATCTAGAAAGAGGCTCTGGGAGAGTGCCAAGGCCTTGGGCACTCAGCGTCAATGTGCTGTGGCAACCTCAGCAGGGTATAATGACACAGAGTCCACCATTTTCTCCAGAGGAACTGATCACTGCTACCTGAAGAGCAGTTGTCATTTTCAGTGATCTCCAGCCCTCACCTGGAGATTGGCAACAATTGTTACCCAGGAAGAAATAGCTGGTTTGGAGGGTGGAGTCTATGGCATTGTACCTGTCTGAGGTCCCACCCCTCCTCAAACACCACCCTCTCCAGGCTCTAGCCCTCAAATCTCCATGACTTCCACAACCTGGAGTTGGCAACCCTATCTTCTTCCCAGCCAAGCATCAACCTGCCATTATCTGTCCCTCTGATTTCAGCTTTGCATCTCTTCCCCTCTCCCTCCTGGAGATCAGTTGTAATTCTGACTGATTTCCACCCCTCTCCTGAGATTAGCAACAGTCGTTTCCCAGAAGGGAATGGCTGGTTGGAAGGGTGGAGTCTATGGCACTGTACCTGTCTGAGGCCCCACTCCTCAAACCTCACCCTCTCTAGGTTCCATCCATCAAATCTCCAGGAATTTCCCACCTGGAGTTGGCAACCCTATCTCCTTCCCAGCCAAGGGAATGGCTGGTTGGGAAGGTGGAGTCTGTGGCATTGTACCTGTCTGAGGTCCCACCCCTCCTCAAACCTCACTCTCTCCAGGTTCCATCCCTCAAATCTACAGGAATTTCCCATCTGGAATTGGCAACCCTATCTCCTTCCCAGCCAATCATCAACCTACCTTTATTTCCCCCTCTCTCTTCAGCTTTCCATTTCCCACACACACACACCTGCAGCCTCTTCTGTGCTCTGAAGCCCTGACTGCCACAGAGTCCACCATTTTCTCCAGGGGAACTGATCTCTGCCATCTGGAGAGCAGTTTTAATTCTGAGTGATCTCCAGCCCTCACCTGGATATTGGCAATAATGGTTTCCCAGGAGGAAAAATAGTCTTTCTCTGCAATGGGGACCAAAGCAGCTTACATTATTCTCCTCTCCCCCTTTTGACTTTCACAACAACCCTGTGAGGTAGGTTAGGCTGAAAGTCTGTGACTGGTCCAAAATCATCCACTCAGCTTCTACAGCAAGAACCTGGATCTAGCAGGCCCTGCTCTGAAGCACTGACTGCTATGCCTAGGGCAGCCAACCTCCAGGTGGAGCCTGAAGATCATCTGGTATCACAACTGAACTCCAGACAACAGATCTCTC